CCTGTGGCCCCTTCACCAGGCTGCCTGGCCCCACCCGTCGGCCTCCCCAGCTCTGGCAGGGAAGGAGTTAACCTCCAGGCTTCTCAGCGTGAATGTGGAGCTATTAATACCCACAGCCCAGCCGGTCTGCCAGAGCAGCCACAGAGTCGGAGTGGAGCAGAGTCTCAGTCTCGCAGTCAAAGCGGGAGCAGAGGGAACGAGCCTTCAGGCGGCGAGGAGCAGAGCCGGGACCAGGACTCCGGGGTCAAAACTTTTCCCGGGGACAGTGTGGCCCTGTGCCAGCTTCACCTGGCCCTTGCCCACCTTTCAGCTTCAGGTCTCTACCCTCTGTCCTGGAGGCCACCCATGCCAGCCATCCCCGCAGAGGACAACAAACTTTCTTAGGGTCGCCGCCTCTGTGGGGGCCAGGCTGGACCAGGAGGAGCACGTGGCCATACAGACAGATGGACAGAAGGCCAGGTCAGCGGCCAGCCTGTCCTCCCAGTCTCACCTCTCGTAGACAGAAGCAGCGTGAGCGGCCGAGGGCCTAGGGCTCCACGAGGGCAGACGAGCCTGCCGGACCTTTGTCCACCACCAGCCTCCTCCGCGTCCAGGCAGCTGGCAGCTGTGGCCCAGACCTGGGGGTCAGAGCAGGAACCCACGCCAAGCGGAGACACAGGCTCTTCCACACACCGAGGCGACGGGCAACCTGACTGGGAAGGCACAGGTGGCTGGTGGGCAGGTGCGGGGCCCTGAGGCCGACAGGCTGCTGACCCTGGAGCACTCTGGCTCGGGGACCCCTGCCCAGGCTGGGGAAGATGCTGCCGAGGTCACCACCAGCCACCCCTGCCCTGTCCTGGAGCTGCCTCCGGCCTGGCCCATGGGCTGTGGGGCCGACGATGTGCCGGCCTTCTGCTTCGTCTGCTTCCACAAGGAGGAGGAGGAGGAGCTGCTGGAAGAGGTCCCGCTGCGGAGGTCAGTGCCGTGGGTGGGCAGCGGTGGGCAGGGCGAGGGCGCCTCTGGGCTGCGGGCCTGTCTCCCACTCTCTGTGCACTGCTCACCGCCCACTGCCACCTTCACTTCAGGCTCTCTGACCTCTCACCTGGTTGTTGCTGACTCCTCCCTACCTCTCCCCCACACCCCCCACCCCTGGTTCCAGAGTGACTTGCTTCCTTGCTGTGGACATATCTTCCCTGGTCAGAGCCCTCTGTGGTTCCCCAGCTCCCATGGCATGAAGTCAACTGAGAATTAAAGATCTGTGTGATCTGGGCTGACGCCTCCCACCTCGTCTTTCTCTGTTTCCTTATATTCACCTGCCGAGAAACTCTGCTTAGACTTCCCTACCCCTGGCTCCCCTCCATCCAGGCTCAGATGCAATGACTCTTCCTCCAGGAAGCCCTCCTGGAAGTCCCTGCCCCACCCTGATCTGAGAACCATGTTTCTTTCCTGTACGGCACCAGCACCCGACAGGTGTTCTGTCCTTGCTGAATTAAGTGAAACTACATGCACGTGTATACGCTTTTGCGTGCCTGTGTGTATAAGAGGAAGACAGAGAACAGGTTTGTGCGCGGTGTTATCGAATATTGGGTATGCGTGTGTGATTGCGAGTGTGTGTACATGTTTGTGGGCGTGAGTGTGAGTTCTATGTACCTACGTGGGGAGAAGGGCTGTGTATAGGAGCCAGCGGGGGTTCATGCCCCAGGGGCCTCTGTCCCTTTTGCCAGCTCTCCCCACCCCCACCTTCAGGGAAACCAGGCCCCAGCCAAGTGCATTACTCAAGCCGTGACCACAGGCTCCGGGAATGGACAGACCATCTGTAAGGGAGACAGGGGTCACCTCTGCTCCAGCCCGTCCCGCCCACGCCTCCTTCACTGCCTGAGTCAGCACTGCCCTGAGTGGGGAGGAGGGCAGGTACAGGGCCAACCCAGGTGCCCCCTCCAGGCCCCTGGCATGACAGGATGGGGTGTGGCTCCTGCAGCTGAGGCCAGGCTCTTCCCTGACTCTGCATTGGGCCCGGGGTCTGCAGTTTCCCTGCTGTGGGCCTCTGTGTTTTCATCTGTGCAGTGGGAGGGCGTTCCCCCCACGGTGGTCAGTTTTGCATCCAGCAGTGACTGGGCACCCGCAGGGGCCAGGACCTGAACTGGGGCCGAGGGTCAGAGCCTGCCAGGAGGCAGAGGAGTGATGGTTCCTGGATGGGTGTGGGTGCACAGGAGGCAGGGTGCCCAGGCAGTCAGGAGGACGGACAGACCACCTTTGTCTGAGGAGACCCCTCCAGGTTTGTCTGAGAGTGCAGCTACTCTCCCGGGGGTGAATGGAGCTGAGGAAAAGGCAGAGGGAACAGCAAGAGCAAAGGCAGGTGACAGGAAGTGCAAATCGTGTTCGAATGGCACAGGTGAGGCCAGCGAGGACCACGGGGCCAGATGACGATGGCCTTGACTGCTGAGCCGAGGACTCGACCCACAGACATGGAGCAAGCGGCGGTGTGGGCTTGAAGCGAGCCAGGGTCTAAGTTAGAGACTCGATGAAATTATAGGGTGCGAGTGTTTCCTGAACTTCCAGACAGTGGACTTACAACAGAACCAGTGGGGAGATGGGAGCTCAAAATGCTTGAGGAAGGAACGAACGAATGAGTGAATGAATGAATGAATATGACATGGGGAGAGACAGGAGTCATCGGAGTCGATCGTTAAAAATCTATATCCTAGGCCTACCTTGGAGACATCGCAGACTGGGGAACTAGAGGGGGTGGAGGTATAATGTTAGCCAGGTCCCCCGGGGGGGGGAGGGGGGAATTCGAACAAACCAGCATTTGACAGAGCCCAGAATGCCATAGACGTAGGCCTTAGGGTCAGCAGCCGTGACATTCCTTCCTCCCTCCTCCCTCTATCTCCTACCTCCTACCTGGGAGACTGTTCTAGAGAACTGTCCTGCTGCCTCCTGCCCTGGGGGGTATGTGCGTATGTTCGCAGGAGGAGATCTCCTCCTAGCTGGAGGTTCTGGCCCTTTAAGGCCTGGGGTAGGGACCCTGCCAGGCTGGGCAGAGACAGTGACCACAGGTGGCAGGTGGTGGAGCTAAAAATACAGAGTGATGTGGACTCCGCGGAGCCAGGCAGCGCTGGCTGGGCAGGGCGGGAGGAAAGGCACTGGAGTGGTTTGGGCGCTACTGGAGGGGGGGCAGCGGGCAGAGAGCCTGGGTGGGTCACCTTGGGAGCTTACAGGGGTCACCCCAGCTGATCTTCCGAAACACCCCCACCCTGGAAC